GCCTATCCTCACACTTTTTGTAAGTGAGTTCATCAACAGTAAATTGCTTAGTTTCAAAGTAAATTGGGCCATATATTCTCTCTTAATCCTAACTAAAGTGGTTCTGATGGAAGAAAATAATAGAAACCTGAAGGAGGCATCACAAGGTTAAAATCCAACTCATGTAGGAGGTGGGAGCAGAAGGAACTAACATGACCAGTAACCCAATCATAGAAATTAAGCCTTATCATAAGACATAAGGCCTAAGCAGGTATCAGACTCCTGTATCAGACTGCTGTAGGGAATGTCAGAAGCACAGACTTGAGGGTAAAGATACAGAGATTGAGCCCATTGTGAAATATCCTCCAGCCCTTTAGGATTCCATATAGTTATCCAAAATCAGCAGCAAACAGGCCACTTCACAAAGGACTCAGCTTCACCCAAAGAGAAAAGGACTATGTCAGCTCAGAGTCCTGGGCAGCAGTCTTCTGCCCACCTGGGGCTATGCAGGTGCTTCTTTACACCCACTCTCTCCCTCTGTGGGGCAGCAGCCTCCTGCAACTTCCGGGGCTTCTACTCACTGACCTCCCTCAGCAGAGGCAGCTCTCCCAAGGCTTCCTGCCTACTACCATCAGGTCTCTCTCAGCAAACCTGCCCCTTTGGGGCAGTTCTTTCTGCCCGCTTGTGCCTATAAATATCCTTTACTTCTCTGTCCTTTTCCTTAATACACCTACTCTTTAAATATAACTGAGTCTCTGTTTCATGGAGAAACTTGCCACATGCTGAAGAAAGGGGAGCTCTGGTGAAACCTTTCCCCGCACTAACTCCAAAATGACATTAGTTCTATGAATAAAATGCAGAAGTAAGCTTTAATTTTACACTAAAATGAAACAGTTCTAGCCTTTCATGCAAATTTAACTGAAATAAACTGAAGTTAAAATCACCAAAATTTTTGAGGTAAAGAGAATAATGTATTTTGATGAGAAATAAAATGTTCTGTTTTGTGCATTTGTTTACAGTATTCTAAGCCCCTAAGTCTGTCCTTAACTAACTTGGAAAGGACCAATTGTTAACATTAAATCATTACCTTGAAAACAATTGCCTTCACTGATCTTCCTTTCCTCTCTGCCAAGTAAAGGATGTGGTAAACCAGAATTCAATGCTTATGTCTTCTCCCTCTTTGCACTCTATCAATTAAGGCCAAGTCAGAGTCAAGATTTAAAAAGTTCTGCTTCTCCCTCACTTCCTCTCCTTCTCTCTGAGAGGGCTTGGACTTCTTTGTCCAGTCACGAGGCTCAAACTTTTCACACTCAGTATCACCAGGTTGAGTCAGATACCATTAGATAAAAATCACAGGTATTCCTGGAACATGATTTGGCCAAAGTTAGGGGGAAATTTTATATCTACATTAACATGAATCTACTACAGAGTAGAGTCTAAAATTCATATCAGTTTTAAGATGAAAACCAGACATTTGAAATAAAATGACTCTTAGCTGGGGGTAGTATCATTGTTTGAGATTCTGCATTATGTTAAATAAATATACTTTATAAATATGGATTAGCGTTTTTGAGTGAAAACTGTAGCAGAAGTGAAGAGGTTTAATAATGGAAATGCCTGTAAACAAACTGTGGAATGGGTATGTTTATGCTTCACCACCATCATCATCACCACTACCATCAACTCTTGGGCCCTGTCCATCCCTTGAAGTATCTTATTTCTTTTTTCAACCTCAGTCTTGTGGCTAAGTTTACCTCGCCTTTTCTTCATTAGTAGGTGTTCTTTGATTTTCCAGTCTTACTATGGTTGTAAAGAGATACTAATTTAGTACTAAGTATAAAAAAGATCACATCCAGATGGTGGTTAGAAAATTAGATTTTATATGCCATCACTCAGGACATACATGTCATTAGTCAGCATTCTGCTGAGAATTTATATTGTGCTGGAAAATGTGCAAGTTGATAAGAATATAAAATGAATATATATATATTTTTAAACTCCACCATTCTTGCCATATAGCTGGAATCTTCAAAGAATAGGATTCTCTCCTAAAAATCCAGAAGTAACAAGGACTCTATGTCTTAATTTTTAGCCCAGTGAGATTCACTTCATATTTCTGATTGCTAAACTGCAATAATAAATCTGTTGTTTTAACCACTAGGTTTGAGGTAATTTCATACAGAACCAAGAGCAAAAATATAAATACCTAAGTCAGTCTTAGCACGAAGAAAAACCATGATTAAACACCATATTAAACATTTATATTTTTTAAAGTGTGGACATGGTTTACATCTCTGGTCAGGCAGTGTTCACCCTATATGTAACACAACATGTAGGGGATTTGAAATCACACAGATATGGATCAAACCACAATTCCACCCCTAGCATTAATGTGACTTGAGGCAAAATAATTGTGCCTCAGTGTCCTCAACTGTTAAGAAAAGGAATAGTGAAATCTTAGGTCAGGATCTCTTGAATCACACTTTGAGGAGGTGACAATTGTGCATAAGAAATTTTCCAGGAAAAACATTTAAGTTACCAGAGTAAGCAGGATAGTAAGGGGATTTTAGGCAAAGTCCTAGCATCAGCATGATCCTGCAGGGGAGCCATGGAGTATAAATCATACCTCCGATTTTTCTGCTTCTACAGGTAATAGGGCTGGGGATTTATACTATGCAGAGCAGTCCTTAGCAAAAGGTGCCTTGGGAGGAAAGTAAACTCCCAGTTGACTCTTTCTGGTGCTCTATGGCTGTAGGCAAAGTACACCTGGCAGCCCATGAGTCTCAGGGCTGGCTTTAAAAAATAAAGGGCTGAAGTTGGAAGAAGGGCACTAGGCCCTTGGGAAGCTTTGGGGTTAGGGTGGAGTGTGACAAAGTCTAACATAGGCATCTACCTCAGAAATCTTCACTCATGCTTTTCTTTCTTTAGCTTTTAAGATTTCTAAACTATTTTTCTTTTGTAATAGTATACAATGTTAAATGCCATATTCTGCACAACGAGTGCTCAGCAATGAAATAATTCTTTCCTGACATAGGCATCGAACCCAGAAAGGATTAGAGAGAAAAAAGAAAATATGAAGTTGACCAGAATGGAAAGTAACTGAATTAGTCTCAATCTTGCATTTCAAAATGGCCTCAAATTCAATCTTATTTTTTAATACAGCTGCAAACCTGAACATGAGCCTCACAATATTTATTTGGCTGTCTGAAAAGTTAGATAAAGTCAACCAACTAACCAGCCAGCCAGAATTAATTAAAAATTAATTAAGCACAACAAATATAACATGTTCATTTTTTTTTAAACCTCAGAAACAGGCCACCAAGTCCCCAGAATATATATATATATATATTTTTTTTTCTTAAAGAAAATAAGATTTGCTACTCTCAACTCACACCATAATTTGAGTAGGTAAAGTATAACATAAAGGATTATTAACCAGTAAAATGGACCTGACTACTAAAAAACAAGAGATGCATTAGGAATACAGGAATGGGGTTACAGGGAGAAGGTGAGAGTACCCAAACTGGGAATTAACTTAGAAAAGCACACCCTGCCCCTCCTCTCCCCCAGCTTCCATCCCTGTGTTTCATCCTACCAGCCTGAGAGTCAGACCTCAAGGAAATCAAGTGGCTGATTGGAGACTCTTTATGGTGACTGGACTAGTGAGGAAAGCACCAGCTGGGATCCAGAGACACTTGTTTGGAAGCCAGCACTGGTGGTGGTGGCGGTGGCGGGGGTGGGCAGAAAGACTTACTGAGAAGCTGCACACACTGGAAAACTGTCCAAACTTAATACTGAATGGGCAACACTGGCCCCCTGTGAACCACTGACCAGGAAACCACCCGCTGACCACCACACTACTGAGGCAACAACAAAAAGACCATAGCTCAGAAGAAGAGCCGCTTTTTTATTTGCTGGCCATCCAACTTTGTGCTAAAAAGTCCCAACACTGTGCCGCCTGACAAAAAAGGAAAGTTTTTAGGTTCCAGCCCTGAGGTCACAATTCAAGGCAAAGAGGAGTGAATTAGGAGTTCAAGAAGCCCTGAACTAGCTCGAGTACACCTCAGTAGTGCTCCTGGATTCTGGAATGTAAAATGCTTTTAGGCTAAAGTACTGCTCTTTTTTTGTTTGATTTATTTTTTCCTTTCTTAATTGTTCCTGCAATAAGGAAGAAGACCCAAAATTTGGGGATATTTACATACAGATGGCTGCTTGACACAGGGTTATGTTCACCGGAAGAGAGTACAAGGCAGTGAGTGACGGAGATCAGGTCTGGAACCAAACTTGGTTTTGAATATCAGCCTTACTTTTGGAGCCTTAACTTCTAGGTGCCTCAGTTTCTTAATCTGTAGAAGGGGATAATAGTATCTATTTTATTAAGATATCAGAAGTATAGCTTACAGAATGCCTGGCATCTAGGTAGTGTTTGATTAAATTCTCATTTTCTCAAGTGAAAAATGACACAGGGTTAAACAAATCATCTTTCTTTGAAGTCTGACAGTTCTGATCAAACTCGAACCACTACATGCCCAAACGGTTACACTTGAGAAGGAAAGAGGAAAGAAGTCCCAGGTTGAGGGCTTCCAGTTTTGTGCCAGGCAAGCACTTTACTGGCATCAGCTGATTTCATCCTCTTTACCGTTCTCCAGGACTAGTACTTGTCCCATTTAACAGACAAGAAAACTGAGGCTCAGAAAGGGCAAACACATTTACTGGAAAATAAGCTGGATTCAAACTCGGTCTTCTCTTTAGGCAGCCTAACCATTTTCCTCGGTACAGCTTGCCTTTCCCCAGCCCTTCACCTCAGGCATCAAGAATTCTGTTAGCTTTAAACAGATGGTCTCAAACTTAGCACTTGAAAGTGAAGCATATGAAATTCATTTGCCAGTTACAGCAATTACAAAAAAAAAAAAAAAATCATCACTCCTCACATCTCTTAAGAAACTAGCGTTTGAATGAAAAGCAGCAGCCCCCTACCCACCCTGTTCCCCATTCCAGCAACCCTGAGCCCCGGTCCTCACCTTTCCTTCCAGCCGCAGACTTGACGGTGAGAAGAGTCCGGGTAGCAGCCAGTGGAGTTCCAGCCCCGACAGCGCGTGGCGCTCGGCCGCAGGGCCCTTTTTTGTTCTCAGGAGCCCATAAAGTCGGGTGAGGTCAGCTTAAAGTTCTCCAGGTGCAAGCCTCCGAGGCAAGGCGGTGCCCCGCAGTTCCAGGGTTAAACTCTGCTTTTCTCCGAGGAGACCACTGATCGCCACCTTTCGCGCGCACCACACCCCCATTCCAGGGACCTCTTTCTTCCTCGGCTTTCACAAGGAAAGTTGAGCCTAGTCAAAACTCAAGTCCGTCCCTAAGTCCCCGTTTGCGGCCCGTGAACCCACAGGGGAAGGTGGGGCCGCCACCCGCTCCCGCCGTCAGGGCGCACAGCCTCCAACTTCCCGCTGCTCTGAGGGGGATTCTGCGAACTCTGCGCCAAGCTTCACAGTAAACAGGAGGGGAGGACCCCTTTCTGAACTCCAACGCCTACACCCTGGCTCCCAGCGTCCCGGCTTTCTCCGGCAATTCAATGATCGGGTACCTTCACTCCCACGCGGCCCCCGGCCCGCTTTTTCTCACGGCAGAATCTCTCCGAGAGGCTCTCAGAACCCTGGCGGTAGCACCAGGCGCGTGGGTGCGCCCCAAGTCCAGGTCCCGGTATTTCTGCTGCAAGCCCACGTCTGAGAGAACAGGGAAGTCTTCTGGGTGCCACCGCCCAGCGCATCTCCCGACCGCTTGGAGGCTGAAGAAAGGTCTGCGCTGGGCCAGCAGCCTTCCTGCCGGCCTCCCCACGCCAGGCCCGGGCTCCCCTCCTTCCCGGCTCCCGCCTCCTCTCGTAGGCTGCCAGGCGGACCCAGCCTGCCTCTCTCTCAGCCTTCACTACCGGGTCAAGCTGCGGAGGGAGGGCGCCGAGACAGCGGCGAAGCGGCTCCCCACCCGGCGCGCGCGGGCCCCTCCTCTCCTCAGCCCGCTCCCTCCCGCCTGCCTCCTCCCCTCCTGCCAGTACTGTACAACTAGTACACACACACACACACACTCACACGCGGACGCTGACGCTGCCACTGCAGCTGCCATGGATATCAGCTAACAACACACCCAGGCGCGCGCGCGCGCTCCCACTCGCACCACGCAGGAGTGGCCCCCGGCATCCCTACCTCCTTCCCCACCCCACCCTCACCCGCTCGGCGACCGCTCGGGCCGCCGCCGCCGCCACGGCGCTCCTCCGCTGCGGGGCCACGCAGCCCGAGTGTCATTCAAGGGACGGCACCACCTCACCCAACCTCTCCTACCTCTGCCCAGCCGTCCCTCGCGTCCTCCCCCTTCTCGTCCACACTCCATCCAAAGAAGAGGGAAAGCACCGAGCAGAGGGGGCAGGAGGCAAAGTCTGCTCTTCTCACTCCTTGGTCCCCTGGCTCCTCCATCCTCATTCTCTCACCAACAACCTCCCTCCCCCAGAGGAATCCCTCAGGAGCCGAGGCGACTCGCCCCACTGCCATGTCCAAAAGCTTGAAAAAGAAAAGCCACTGGACTAGCAAAGTCCACGAGAGTGTCATTGGCAGGAACCCGGAGGGCCAACTGGGCTTTGAACTGAAGGGGGGCGCCGAGAATGGACAGTTCCCCTACCTGGGGGAGGTGAAGCCCGGCAAGGTGGTCTATGAGAGCGGCAGCAAGTTGGCGTCGGAGGAGCTGCTACTGGAAGTGAACGAGACCCCGGTGGCGGGGCTCACCATCAGGGACGTGCTGGCGGTGATCAAGCACTGCAAGGACCCCCTCCGGCTCAAGTGTGTCAAGCAAGGTGAGCGCAGCGGTTGGCTCCGCGCGGCGCCCAGCGCCCGGACCGCTCAGAGCGCGGGGCTGTGGAGGGAGGGTGGGCTTGCGGTGGAAGGGGGTGTGTTGCGCGAAGGTGGGGTGAGGTCGGGACTGAACCGGCTGAGCCGGGGAGCTTTGCCGGAGGTCGGGCTGGGGGGTAAAAGGAAGGGGTAGGCGAGTGGCGGTGTGGCGTGCAACTTTGTTTGCGCAGTTATTCCCTCGGCTGAGGAAGGTGTTTGGCCTTGTCTGACCTCAGGTGCCGGCGAGCTCTGGGGGTAAATTGAATGTGCGTCAGCGGCTTTGCCCGCCTTGAATGGAGAGCTTTTTGGTGGGGAAGGAAGGAAAGAAGGAGGGAGCGGAGGAAGGAGCAACTTGAGGGTGCAGCGGCATCATCGGCTGGGAAGGGAGGAGCAGAGGGCAGCGCGGCCAGCGAGAGCTGCGTCCCGCGTTTCGGGACCTGGTTGGTGACGACGCGCTTCGCCACTGTCCCTGAGCCGCTAGGAGACCGGGAAGGGAAGGGGCAGACTGCTCCGGGTGCTTTGACCCCTTTTCCTTAACTTTTCCCTGCTGCACTCCTCGGTCCTCCTTCCCCCGCCCACGGTCCTGTCATGTGGGCACCGTGCGTCACGTGCACACTGACTAACCGGGGCTCTCACCCCGAGCTGGCCTGCGGGAGGAGGTTAGCGAAGGCAGCTTCGCTCTGGGAGCTGTTTCTAGTCGGGAGCAGGGACGTGGTTTACCCGGAAAAGTACTTTACTCAGAGAAGACTGAGTGAAGTGGAAGTTCTCTGTGGTTGGATTCGTTCTGGCTTTGGATTTGGGGGTGGGGACATGTTTCCGAGAGGAGCTGGCTGGTCACAGCTCCGGCTCCCTGGGCTCCAGCCTGGGTTCAGTCTCAACTGAGTCGCAGTTGAAGACTGAGGGAGACTCCAGAGAGTGGGATCTTGCAGATCTCTCCAGCTGGAAGGAAAATTATGATCCTGGCGAAGAGTAAGATAAAAGTTTCTTTTGGAAAGAGGACAACTTTAGGTAGAATAAAATGGTGTATCTGTTTCCCACACATGATTGCACATGTTTTGTAGTTCACACACATTCCATGTGAGATATGTATGTACATGTCTACATTCATATTCTAAAGGTTTGTTTTGGTGTCTCGTTCTTTGTCCTTCCTCAAAGGTGGAATGGAGCATGGGTACCTACATTTTGAACAACCAGTTACTTTTACTGCATAACCAACTATCAAACACTCTTAAGGAGACTTCTCCATAAAACCAGTTTTAAGAGTAAATAGATGAATATTTTCAGGTGAAATTTCTTTACAAGAAATATAAATTATTTTACAAGAAAAAAAATGGAGATTCTTGAGTATTAACAGCTGATGGCTATATAAACGTTGACTTGTAGGTCAACATTACTCAATACTATATGAATTGAAGAATATGAGTTAGGTTAGAAGGCAAGTAGAGCATCTTGTATTTTTCGTGGCGACATATCCAAGTGGCATGCTAGCATAGTTGCAGTCTTGATGCCATTTTGTAACAATAGATATAAATGGAAAATATTGCTTTTGACTTCCCATACACATTGTGACTTGTTTTGTCAGCAGTGAGCTTGGTATTTGCAGCAGCTGCAAAAGTTAACTCATTGCTAAATTGGACTAATGATAATATCCTAATGATGAAAGTGATTTTTTGTTACAGTTCCAATATGCTATAGCATTGGAATATGCTATCTTTTTCGAACACTACATTGTGAGGTGAGGCCCACCGTTAGGTGTTTACAAAGAAGTCCAATGTAAGATGATGTGAACTAGATGTCTTTTATGTCCTGCCATGAGTCTCTGATCCTTCGCCTTCTATATTAAATTTTATTTGAAAGAGTCTTGTTTTTAGAGTTCTATGGAAAAATCTCTAACACTCAGTTCTGGGTTCCACACAATCATTGGTTGATGTTTGTAGTAATGTTCACAGAGAACCCCAGCAACCTGATTCAACTCCTGAATCAACTGATCATAAAAGAAAAAAAAATGTTTTCTTTAGCTTTTGTGGAAAATATATTTAATTCTAAATATCATTTATATATGCTATTCCTTTTTGAAATGAATCTTTCTCTTCTCAAATAATACATAGGTATATTTTATTTATCACTGCATACCAAGCAAAATTTTCTGAACCTTGGATGTACTGCCAGTGTTCTTGGGTTTCACATAGGTTTTACTTGCTGGAAAACATTTAGATATGCATAGGTTTATAGTTTTATTTGTAGAAAATTAGTAATATAGCTGAAAAAATTAAAAACAGTTTAGCAGTTGTATTTTTAATAGATAATGAGGAAATTCATCTTTGAATATAATGTAGACATTGGATATGATATAGAGATGATGTACATACGTATCTGTTGTGTAACCATCCCAGGGTGAGTAAGTTCACCGTTGGTTCTCATAGTTGTTCCAAAGAGAATTTTGGAGCTCTTGGTATCATCTTCACAGGTTTTAAAAGTAAGCAGGGGAAACAAGCCAGCAGGGAGACAGAAACTAGAGGCCCCCTGTGATTCCTTCCTCTTTCTCTGGGCTCTCTCTGGTGTTGTGTTGTGGTTTTGCTTCTTCTGTAGTCACTCATCCACCCATAGCCATCCTCTGTCTCTGAATGATGCTACCCTTATATCCCTGACCTCTGTGCTCAGGTGCGCACCTACACAAGATCATGCCCACACTCCAGGTGTCCACAAGAGGCACCACGCCCTATGCTCACTCTCCCCAGGCCTTCTGTATTGACATGATGGAGGCTGCAGGTGATACCACAAAGCCTAGTGCCATAAAAACCTGATTGATTTATTTATGGCAGGTAAGTTAAGATAGATTTTGTAAAGAAAAGGTTGCAAGGAATTAAGTGCATGAAATAAAAATACATCATTTTCTCAATTTTAATTTACTCACTTGGCTACTTTTACTGTAATGTTGTAATTTAAAACTATCATAATTTTAAAGGAAAATTAAAATAGTAGGATTTTTATACATGTCAAAATAGATGTATTGTAGTTTTTTCTATATTTAAGTGTCCTTAAAATTATTTGTAATAGTTCAACCATCTGCTTTTAATCTACATAATGATGATTCATCTATAAAAATATTATTATCACAGATATATTTTTATAAAATATGGAATTTTAGGTTATTATAAACCTTTTTTCCATCAAAGTATTCTAAATTAGCAGTTCTGTTTGATGATCCCATTAATACATCAGTTGAAAGAAGTTTCTTGAGTGAATTGAGGTTTATGCTTAAGTGCTAAAGTTTTATCCTTATATTCTTTTTTTTAATTTGCAGTATAGTTTGCACAGCCTGTTACATAGGCCATTCTGTCCTACATTCCTTGCGTTATAACTGCTACTGCATCTAATACCACATGGAGACCTCCATAGCCTAGACTTATTTCTTCATTTAGGATCTCACAATGGGAGAATAAAAAGGCAAAAAAAAAAAAAAAAAGTTTTCTAACTCTAAACTTGCAGAAGAGGAACCAAATAAGAATTTTGTAATTCAGTTCTTGAGAACTTGTACATTGCTTTCCATTCTATGGCACTTTTCAAAGATGCCTTAAAAGAAAGTAGATCTGCATTTATTAAGAGTCATGCTTTCTTCCTGATTGACTGCAGACTTTTATGATAGAGTTAGAAATCTATGCTTATTTTTATTTGGAAAGATAAACACAAATTTGTCAACGATTGATTTTACATCACTGAAATTTGAGGTATGTTAATTTTCTACATCAGTAAGCAAACATATTAAACAATTTGGTTAATTATTTTTCTTAAAAGTATCTCTTTTGTTTTGGAGCCATTTAATGACAGTCATCTTTGGGCATAAGTTATGGAATATGCTACTGTAGTTTTTCAGTGCATATAGAAAATTTAAATGGTAAGACCTTGGGTGTTATATATGAATGTTTGCTTTATTATGTTTGTTTTGACAGAGTATAATCTTGGGGTGAAATCACAGCTAAAGTATTTAAATACCACCATCTCTGCTCTTAGCATTTACACTGTGCAATATTTTGGCACATTTGTTATGCTCACTTTCCTTTTTAGTTGCTTTGAACTCACACATTCACTCTCAT